TGCAAATTATGTTTTATGAACCTGCAAATTAAATATGTTGATTTTGAATTAATCTTACATTGCGATTTAAGGTTTCGTCAAAGGTCAACATGTCTAAAAATTATTTTTACAATAGCTCCAAAAGTATGTGTGGTATAAAGTCAAAACGTTTACAGTTAATAAATATATAATTGACTGATAAATAGAAAGTTTCACATGATAACAAATATTTATAAAAAGATATTTTTTTTGAGAAAAATTGTATAAGAAAATGTACATATTTAAAGAAAAATGCACCTGCTTAATTCTGTCCTCTCTGTGAAAACCAACATTGTAGAAATAATATATGTTTATTATTGAAGAGCAAGTTGGACGCGAATGGTCTCTGAAAGGCTGTTATTGAAAGCATGACATGTATAAAGACAAGACCCCTATAGTATCAGCCATTTGCAATCTACTTTCACTTTCATGTGTTAACATTTGGACAAAATAAACAGGGAAAACAACTTTCCAGAGGCTATCCAAGTCCAACTTGCCCTTCATTGATAAACATATTTTGTTTTTGCAATGATGGTTTTCACTAAGAGCACGGAATTAATTAGGTGTATTTTTTGAAAATATGGGCATTTTTAAGAAGAATTTATTCTCAATTAATATTATTCCAAGTATTTTTTTTATCAAGTGATATTTTCTATCTGTTAATCAATGAAAAATTTATTAACTTTAAAAGTTTTAACTTTATACCTCACATAGTTTTGGGGCTATTGTGAAAATAAATTTTTGGACATGTTGACCTTTGACGAAACCTTAAATAAATTTTTTTTCGAAAATAATGTTATGAATGAAAGAAATACAAAGAGTTTACATACAGTATTCAAGTTCAAAAGTCCATCAAACAATACAAATTAGAAACATAACAAACACAGATATCTAAAACATAAGAGGTGAGATCAAGTGCCATTTAGGATTGAGCATCCCCTGCCGAACAATCACACCCCTTTGTGTACTTCTGGTTCGGGAAATGAAAGAAAAATCCGTCGACGATTAAGTGTGAAAATAATGGCTTAGCAATTAGTATGTTAAAAAGTCAGTCAGCTTTTGACCAAATGATAGATTAGAAAGTAAGTCAATCATCATTTGACCTAAAGATAGATTAGAAAGTAAAGGGAAGTTGAGGATTGAAAAGTCATCACGTTACTGATAAAGCTATAGAAAGCTTTATTGTGAGGTTACAGTTAACGTCTCTTTCTTATAAAATATTCAGATATAAACAGATGTAACAGACTCCTAAGTTTTTGGATCTTGTGTCCAATCCCTTTGACATATTCTCAATAAAATATGTTCAAAACAACAGACTCCTAGTATCTTTTATTTCAAGCTCAATAGGATATATCATGCCGATATATGCATTGAAATAAGTATAATAATTGCTAATGGATAAAGCAACGTCATTATATTTGAATGTCGAGTTGAAGGCTACAGCAAGTGTTTGCTTAATCATATACATGTATATAAGATTTTGAATAAACTGTGCTTCAAATGAATGCAAAATGGGTCTGCTTATACGGAAGCATATACACTTGTATAATGAGACTCATCGAAATTCTAACAGATCAATTATCTTTTTAATACCAACTTCAGAGTACTTTTGTGTACAACCAGATTGTTTTTAAGCAAAATATACTTTTGCAAATGACCAATGACAAGGTAAGTAAAAATACGTAAACATACGAGTTCAATTTTATTGAAAAAAAAGGCAGCTGTCAAAATCAAAAAGTTCTCCTTTGCCATATAGATATATTAAGTCCCCATTTAATTAATATAATTATAGTCAAACATTTGTATTTTGATAAAGTCTTTTATGTAAAGAGGCACTATTTAAGATGATAGTTTATTGGGTAAAAAACTATCGCGAAGAAAGCTTTAATATCTAATAATCTGACAGGTATACCTATATACATTTTAACACTGTCCTAATATCTTACAAAGATATCTTCAGAACATTGTTACTCAGATGATTAACAAGATCTATTGGTCTCTTTTCACTCGTGAATGTAATTTTTAATGAAATTAGTTACTGCGTACCTGTTTCGAGGGCTTGGAAATCGTTGAATAACTGTTGGAGATGGTAGAGCTTCGCGGAGTTAAACTCCGAGACAGTGTTGTCTGTGGGGGACCAGTCCAGCTTTTCTGCCAAAGACAGTGATTACGCAAAATATTCCTCTCCATGCTACGCTTAAAAAATTTCACAGATTCTTTTTTATATTTACACCTTTTTCACAAATGTAAAGAAATTTTCAATAAATGTACAACACACGAAAATGTTCTTTTGAAATTCATTTCATTTGCTCCATGCATCGGAATTTGAAATTCAAACGTGGTCTATAGATTTAACATCCTTTGAAGGAAAAAGGTTGGATTTTATTGGCTGCTTCGTTTTATGCTTTAAAATGAAAAATAAACATCGTTTTTTTGAATAATTAATTGGATGATAGTTTCTCAAAATTAGCCAAGTGTAATATTACAGTGTTCTAAAACATTTCATAGGCAATCATGATAAAAAGTAGAAATTTGCATTATTTGTTCATGGATTTGATGTATAATTAAAGAGCATTTCAATACTTTGCAATATCCACGGGGAATATTTAATATTTGGGATATTTGAAGCGTTATCTTTGATCTTGGGGTGGCACAAAATCGATCCTGGTTTTCAACTACCGGGTAGTCATGTATGATAAATAAGCCTAACTGATGATCCACTAAAACATACTTCAAGTAATAAATAACACTTACTTGTCTATGATAATTGCAAATCATCAAGGCTTGGAAATTCATTGAATCGTGCTCAACCCATTATAGAGTTTCAAACTAACTCTTTATCAAAGCAGTTTTTGACCTCGGAATTTTTATTTGATGGAAACCAAACAGATTTTTTTTGGCCTCGTGATCTAATGGAGTCTCTCGGTGAAACAGAATGACGTAGACTCTAGCACTTTCAACTCGTTCAGTGTTGAATTTAAGGTTTTAAATAGAAATCACACTTGCACTTAAGGTAAAAAGTTAAAAATGTAAATATAAGCATTGAATCATTATTTTTTGAAAGATATAGTGTCATAACTGCAACGGTGTGTGCAAACAAATTTTCATAACGCGCTAACGCGCGTTACTCAATTTGTTCGCACAGACCGTTGCAGTTATGAGACTATATCTTTCATAAAATAATGATTCATTGCTTAATAAACATACAGTTTATTTTTTAGTTTTCTTATGGTGATAATTGTGTTTTTAACAGGGATTGGTGAAAGCATTATTTCTGTGAACCTAGTATGAGGCAAAAGGAAAAGTTGATGCAGATATAAATGAAATCTTAAAAGTTTAAGGAGTTTTAATCATGAAATAAAAATGATTAAAAGTGAAATAAATTGATAAGATTGTCCTTTTTCAACCTGTGAATTTAATTACAATTTATGACATTCTACTGATTTTACTCTTACGTGTAGGCAATCCCCCATAGCAAACTATACATCGGAAGAATTAGTTTAATATGTTTAAACCCTTAACCTAACCATAGAACTTTCCATTTAATCTTTAAAACTTCCAACAAAACCGTAAAAACAATTTCAGTTGGATTTTATGTTTTCTATAGTGTGCATATAATTTTGATTCTCCCTAAGATATTATGTTAAGTTCTTTTATCTGTAATAAAATATTGGTACATAATACCGTACATTTTTTACACATTACTTTCCAATCTGATGTCCCTTAATCGTTAATCACAATAAATACATTTACTTTATTTTAAATTACACATTATTAATTACTGTACATATAAAGCGAGATTAACATTATTGCACAATATATGTGGATGATTTTAAGGAAAGGGTGAGTGCTTGCTGTGTTGTAGACATCTATCAGAAAAAATATTGCATAGTTTTACATCCGGTAGGAAGATTTGAAATATTAGCAATTATACCACAATTTAAGATTCACTAAAAATCCAAGGTTTTTAACATAATTATTGACAGTTGCATTTTCCAATGAAAACAGAACATGTACCCGGTAAATTTACTTACTTGCAATTGTTAGTGGTCATTTGCAAAATTAATTTGTAACAAAATGTTCTGATCGTACAAAAGAGAACTCTAAAATTGATATTAAGAAGATGATTGCTGATCAAGTTTGCTGATTGACAATACATGTATCTATATAGTTTCTGAAGACCAGGTCTACCAACAATCTGTTAAAATTCTAAAGGCTACCAATTGTGTACCGTTATAAGTAGACTTATTCTTTATTCATATGAAGCAGAATTTATACAAAATTTATACATAAGAAGTAAAGTTTTGTTAGGCTTTCAACTCGGTACAGCTGTATATAAAAATATTTTAACGAAGCCTCAAGTTATCAAATGACAATAGTTACGTATTTCCATTCATATGTCGACATGATAGATCCTTATGAGCTTGATTTTTTAACATAATGATTCTAACTCATCTATTTCAAGCTGTGATGTTTTACTTATAAAAAGACGCCAATGGTAACCTAACAACAAAGATACAATGTATATAATAAGCGTAATGACTTTAGGTAGTTTTCACTATTTCTTAATCATCTATCCTTGAAAGTGAGCTATTTCATTTGAATAAACGAATCTCTCTCACCTAAGTGGCAAGTTTGATTGATATTGGCCCGGTGGTTGTTGAGAAGAGGTCGAAAATGTAAAAAATTTACAGACGGACAGACATACAAACTACAAACATATTGCGATCAGAAAAGCTCACTTGAGCTCTCAGCTCAGGTGGGCTTAACACACTGAATTATGATGTAGAATTCTTTGTGATCAGCCATTTAAAAAAAAAAATTAAATCCAGTAAACACATCACTTTGTTTTTATTTCAGATTAGAAAAAATACTTTAAATAGCACATTAAAGAATACATGAATTTCTTATTTCTAACATTCTCACATAAAATCATAAAAATATAAACATGTGTTTAAAAAAAGCTTATATACTTCTATATCATATTTATTGAGTAAAATACACTTGCACACTTTTCTTTAAGACCACTTGCTAAGTAACAAACTTTTCCACCAAAAGTCGAAAAAGACTCTAAAATATTTTATTATTCATTAAATATAAGTAGTAACCTTAATGTTAAACTAAATTAAATTCATTTTTCTTCAGGTTTTCTCAATTTAAGTTTCAAATGTATGTGAACATTTTGAACCTCTTGATACTTTAATATATACAGTAATAGAATTGAAAAAAAAATCCAAAAATATATACACCTCAGTGCATTCAATTTATTTTGTTCGAGAATGTGTTTTGGGGATAAGCATATAAAATAAACAGAAACATTGATATATAAAAGATAGAAAATGTCTATTTCACTCGGCCAAACTCATCTTTACTGATCTGCATGTTGAATTCCACCTCTTCTAATGATTATAATGCAGTGAGGTATAAACGTTGATAATATTTTAACTTTAACAATCTTAATAGTATGGAAATTAAAAAATACACAGAAATGTTTCTGTGGCAGACTCCTTCCGTTGATTCTATATTTTTTTAACTTTATGGTTCTTCTTCGAGGAAGTTAAACTTTGCACTTGAAATTTTCCCTGATTTCACCACCACTGCTTTGACTTCTATTTCAGTTCCACCAAAAATAAGACTGACCTTCACCTTACGATCTTTTCCCCCTGTTAGATCTGGCATTGCCACTTCCAGAGTTCCAAGGTATGTACAACTAGGATCATCGGTGTACATTGGGTTGGCTTTTATTGATTTGTACAGAGGGATGCCAATAGCCGTCTGGTTTGCTCTCAGAGGAGTATAGATTTGTTCCTCTTGTGCCACATTCAATAAGAGGGTGTCTCCAATTTTCACGTGAGTATCGAATAAATCTTCGCATTTAAAAATTCCTTCAACTTCAAATTTTCTTGATTCGTCATGCTTTGAAGGATCAAATGTCATATTGGTTTTTACGCCATATGTCCGCTGGGCAATTCTCGAATCTATGACTGTTGGATTCTGACCAAACAAAGCAGCGCCTTTTAAAACAACAAGACCTGCCTCTTGTGGAACGATAATTTTCAAGTTTGGAAATGCCTTTTTCATGGCATCCTGTAAAACAGGAGACTCGGAGAAGCCACCGACCATTAGGATAAACTCAATTCCTCTGACCTTTGGTAATCGAAGCAGTTCATTTACATGCTCAATTATTCCTTTACATGCCGGTTTAAAAAAACCATCAAAGGTTTTGGAATCAATCCTGAGTTTATCAGCCTCCCATTTTATCCCTTGTTTGTAAACGGATTGGTTTGTTAATGATCTAATATCAGAAAATGTGTCCATGAAAGTGACGGGAATTTTCAGGGTAATTTTCCCCTCTGTTGTGTCAGTTCTCTTTCGTTTCTTGATTTCAAAGTCGCGGAGCAGCTCAATGTAGTCGCCTGTATAACGATGAATATATCCTTCCATTGCCCCCTCTCCCCCTAGAATGTCGCAGAGCATTTTCTTAAAGGCTTTATCGACGCTTGTTCCGCCCCAGTCTCCCCCGCTTGCTCTCTCTAATTCTTTCAGTTTTCCTTCTGCCTTGACCTCATGTACAGTAATGTCAATTGTCCCACCTATGTTAAACACAACTTTTGTTAATGAAGAGTCGCTTAACAATTTATTGCGCTTTAGTTGTATCATCAATTTATGTACATTAGAATACGTTAGAATACGTAAGAATATCCATTTTAATTGGTCAGGAATTCAATTTGAAGAAGTCATTTCACAAACAAGTGTTTGGATATGTATCCTCTTTTCTTAATTCATAAATTTAAAAATATGTTACCAAATAAATTCCTTTTTAAAAGGAAAATCAATGTAGATCACGTTAAAAAATTGAACTACTGATATCAAAAAGGTTACCTCCAGCATCAAGAACAAGATATTTGCTTCCTTCTTGGAAAGTGCTGATCTTTCCTTCAGAACCATGGAGTTTTTCCACCGGTAAATGTGTACACCAAATTGAGGCTGCCTCCGGTTCCAGAGCAATAGTTAATTTCGAACCGTTTAATCCGGCCTGTGTTTAAATATGTGAAAAATAAGATATCTCGAAAACTTATAAATTATAAGATTTTTTTAGAACGTGTATAAAAAAATAAAATCACTCTGTATATTCACCATTTCTGCTGCTGTTCTCATGAATTGTTTTGCAGGATCATCCCAAATAGCGGGAACTGTCAAGACCCAGAAAATTTCTTCTTCTACGATGGATGTTCCCTTTTGTTTTAGGCTATCCACAAGGTGATTTTTCATGAACTTAATGGCATGAGAAAAAACGTCTATGGCGGGTAGTTCTTTACCACGGATGTCTTTAACAGTTTCATTCAAAGTAAGCCTCTGTAATTCAATAGGAGAAAATAAATCGGTATTAATGAAATTCTACTATTTGGATACTAGTAATCACTTTTTAATTTTATTTTTAAACGATAAATAGAAAATATTTGCTTGAATTTTTAAAAATACAATTTCTGTTGCCATTAAAATTAGATTTATGCAAAAGTAAAATACTAAGAAGAAACCTATTCAATCATCCTCTAGTCTGCATATTTGCTTGTAAATGTAAGCTTTTGTAGGATTGATTTGAACTATTTGATTTAAAAGAAAAGAAAATTTTAAAAAAGGGAGCATAGTAAAACTTAACATTAACTAGAATAATTAGAATAAATATATAAAGAAGTGGAATTTTTTTTAGACATTCACATTTTGCTTTACAAAAATGCCTTTACAAATAAAAAATAACCCATTATTATCAATTGACAAAATTTGATTGATTAATAGATTGATTGTATAGACAAAATTTGAAAAAAAAAATTTAATTAAACTAAGAACAAGAAGGCTTCCAGTCAAATATTATATATAATTTCTGAGTTTAAAATATGCAGAATGTCTTATCAAGATTTTTTTTTAAATTAATTTCAAAAATATTTGGCCTTATACCTACCGCTGTTCTGATTTTTTCATACAGCATCATTTTAAATCTGTGAAAATAGTAGTGATCTACATGGTCATTTTCGTCAGCTAGTTCTGCATACTGCTCCTCGGCATCAAATCCAAAGGCAACAAGTTCTCGGTTTTCATCTAACAGCACCGTAGTAGGTGTCTTGTAAGAAATAAGCCCACCATCAGCTGCGTGCCAGGTAGGGCAATATACTTTTGGGGGGTCCTCAGTTAACTCCCTTGTCATTCCAAAAGCATACCCAGAGTAGGTTGTGCCAAAGTCTATGGCCGCTACCATTAAATCTTTGTCTTTATTAGCCTTCGCCATTCTATAGCATGAGAAGTTTCACAGATAAACAGAACAACTGTAAAAGTAACAAATGGGTAAAAAAAATCCGTATTGTGTACTATATGTAAAAAGAAAGATAATCAAGAATGCGTTTTCTTAGACATGCGATTATTTTTTCTATCTATAAACTTTATCTTTTCCCTGAACAAAAAGTATATATAAAATGTTCTAAAGCAAGTTAAGAATTACCTATTATAAATTAATTTTTGTTTACATACCTGGTTTGTCCCACACACCCAGAAAATCAAACCGAAAGTGTAGTTTTTTGGCATATGTCCAAACGAGCCGGTGTATAGTCAAGAAGTATAACTCCACTTTGTAATAAGAAAAGTGACAAATAAATGTATAAGAAAATTAAATAAATTCCAATTTTGCATAATTAAAGAGGAAACATCATACATTGAACCTATTTTACATGTATATGTCACTCGCATGTAGCCTTTAAGAAAGTGGACAGAATCTCTGAAATAAAATTTTTTTTCATTTAATTTTTATATAGTCATTGAATTTATAAATAGGAAATTGGACAAAAAATTCTTTATTCATTAATACAAAGCTGCACAGAGGAATCAATAGGAAAACATTTTGGGAACGTGTAAATTAAAAAAATATTTATATATTTTAGAGGTGCAAGGATATGTAGAATAATAATTAATATTCAATATTTTTAAACGTTAGTAGACATGTGTTCATATTCATACGGAGCAGACTTTATTATTTTAAAAAAACACTAAATGAAAATAATTTTTGTTGTAGCCTTCAATTCTTCATTAGACTTTATTGACGATGTTTTATTCATTAACAATTGTAACTTCCATTAATGTGTGGGCTAGATATATCCTAGCGAACTCAAAATTATGTGTGCCACATCTGTTTAAGATTTTGATGTTATACTTACTAATAACTGAACTTTATCGGTCAGGAGTGGATCAAATGTTTTCCTTCCTCAGCTTCCCTTATTTATGCTAAATAATATTCCATCTTCAACTGCATATGGAATAAATGTCTCCTAACTGATGCTATATACAAGAGTTTGCTGGATCCTGGGTACTTTATCTTTCCATTTATCTTCAATTTCCTTTGCTCTCTTGCAGAAAGAATTTATCATGATAAAATGATATTTTTTAAAACCAAAAAGTTTAATTAGTATATGTCTCACATAACAATTAAATTAAACAGTTTATAATTTCCTTGATACACACAACCCGTCTTCTTCCCTACAAGATTCCCTTTTCCAGACAGTATCATACACAAGATACCTGATATACATTGAGACTTCAAGATAATTTCTTCAAAATAAAATATGCAGACAAGATATCATGTCGCTTTGTGATTCTTTCACATTGACCTGTGGCATCCTAATAAGTTCACATAGAATTGAACATGTTTTCTCTTCAATAGGTTCATCTAAGAAAAATATTTGCAAATTTTACAGAATGTCAACATGGTAGCTGATTATGTTGATATGCAATTACAAAAATTATAAGAGAGTCTAATTTAAATGTAGTTAAATTTACTTAAAGCTACTAATAACTACGGAAACGTATAACCGCCTCGTGTTGTTGTATTAGAACGCGATATTATGATAAAAATGTCAAATACAATAACTTCAAGGTTTGGCGATTTGATTATGACGACAATCTCTGGTGAATAATACTTTTCCGATATGTTTTAAACGACTTTTACACTTTGATATATCCAAGGTGAATTGCTAAATGTCGCACATAAAATAATGTGTAAACATTATGCCGCTTAAACTAAATATCGCAGACAATATTATAATGCAATATAACATACTAGTCTAGTATATGAAGACTACGCTTAGACGACTCGATTTAATCAAAGAGAAAAATTTAACAAAATTTGAACGACTTGTAACATCAGATTTATACCAGATACAAAATTTTATCAGTCCAATTTGGGCCACTGGAGGAGAAAAAAAGAAAGACTTACAAACAAAAGAAGGAGGGGGATCCAATTGATAGAACAAACATGATCTTACATAATATAATGAGACTCGTAGCAGTTGATAAAAACGAATATAAGAGATATACTGAATATACATGTATATTCAGTATATGTTATAATTACATTATACATATACTCAAGGGCAAGCAACTGGGAAAAGTACATATATGCATATCAAAATATCTCAATTAAGGAAGATTACGTAGGAATCTAGCAAGTGATCTAAGGATGTCAGGGTCTTCATTAGTCATGAGCCAATCAGATTGATTATCATAAGATTGAAACTGAACAATTTTACATTTAATTTTACAAACATTTATGAGTTCAAGTCTTTGTACATTAAGATGAGGACAGACAAGAAAAAAAATGAATTTCATCCTAAATATAACATATTGCACTGAATTGTGTCTGATTTAAATAAAATAATTCAAATAGTTAAAGGATATCTTGCAGGCTCTTCCCTAAATGATAACTTTTATGAATGCTGCTTCAATGGACAATCACTGTATCGGGTAATACTTGTCCACTATTCTATGCAAACTATGAAAAGGATATCTTTAATCACATTATTATCTTGGAGAACATATACAGACATATAAGCATCAACTATTTTCGTCTGATGTGATGCCATGCATTAAATATGACCTCAAAATATTGTAAATTCAAAATTTCAAGAAATTTTTATGTTTTCTTTGATAATGCAATTGGAAAAAATCGAGCACAGTCTTCACATACTCTATTATGTAATAATATTTCAACATTATGTGTAGATTGATAAAATGATATAATTATTTGCATTTTGTCCTCTTTAATTTAAAGCTAACACACAAGCTCATTAGTTAGTGCTGTCACAGACACAATTTGTTTTCCCCAATGAAATTTTTATTTATTTGGTAAATTCAGATTCATGTTATTATTTATAAAATCATATACATTCTATGATGTTGCTCTTTAAGCTCATTTAAAAAGCATGTTCATAAAGAATCACAAACTGCAAGTTTCTTTTTGTTAATTCTGAGAAAAAAGATTGCACGAAGTTTTAGATCTTTATTTTTAAAAATCCTTTTTTTTTAAAATAATCAATTTCGAAGAATGAAAATCAGGCACATAGCTACGGTTTTCAAAGAGTATCCCGGGTCCTAAGAAAAGCACACAGTCAGAAAAAGAGGAAAGCATTGTCTAGACATGCACTACGGGCCTGCAAGTAGTGCTATAACAATTTGATTATTTTATTTAAATCAGACATCGATGCAATGTATTTACGTTATATTAATAAATCTTATGTTACAAGTCGTTCGCCTTTTGCTGAATTTCCTCTATGATTAAATCTAGTCGTCTTCGCGAAGTCTTCATATATGTTATATCGCACTAATGTCTGCGATATTTAATTTTAGCGGCGTAATTTTTACACATTATTTAAGTGCGACATTTAGGAATTCAACTTGGATATATCAAAGTGTATAAGTCGTCTAAAACATAGCAGAAAAGTATTATTCATCAAAGAAAGTCGTCATAATTAAATCGCAAAACCTTGAAGTATTTGTATTTGACAACATTTTTATGGCATAATATTGCGTTCTAAAACAACAACACGAGGCGGTTATACGTTTCCGTAAATAACACTATTTTGACATTATAGATGCAACCATAGACATAAAGCTTAAGGTCTTTGATGCAACATAACAATCCTGACATGCGATTTATTTATGTTGACAACCGATATAATTATAAACAAATGCGACTTATTTATGTTGACATGCAATTTAATAATGTCAAGATTTGAAGTTCATTACATGTACATGAATGTTAACGTATTATTAGTTCTGTAAAAGAAAATGGCGTTATGCGTGGTGACACAACAACAACACTTAATGATAATCATGATGAATTCCATTTTTCTATCGTCAACTTCCCTTATTTATGTAGCAATATTGCTTTATCATCTGCATATGGAGTTTATGCCTCCCATTTGATTGAATACGCAAGAGCATATGCTCCATGTACGAACAATTTCTAAAACGAAGCAAGCTATTGAAAAATATGATGTTCATGATCATGTTAAGGAAACAAGGAAGTTTCGAATGAAGCCAAACTTTTTACAAATTCTATGGTCGATACAATGACCTTGTCAGAAAATACAATCAATCATTAAGTCAAATGCTGCCTAACGTTTATTACTGGCTTAGTAAAGCTGAATTGTCTACGGATTTTCCCGTACTTATCTCGTTACACAGGCTTTTTCTGTTTACAAAAGTGAGAAGTCAATTCGGACGCAAAGGTTTTTCTCACGATATTCAAAACTTGTGTTAAAACTTCTATGAAAAAGTGTATATGGACAGGCGCGGATCCTTTTTTCCGGGGGGGGGGGGGTCCACCCCAGTCAAAAAAATTTCAATCGAAATTTGCTGACAAGCAAAAAAAAAAAACCTAAACTCCCCAAATGTCAAAAACCTATTTCGTGTGGGGGGGGGGGGGGGGGTAGTGGTGACTTCTATTACCTCAAATCTTTCACTTTTCATACACATTTCACACATATATGTTTACCAGTGGGGGGGTCAGCGTTTTCCAGGGGGGGTCCATGGTAACTTTTTTCTTGATTTAGTATATACATTTTTTAACCTGGTAAATTCCAGGGGGGGGGGGGGGGTCCTGAGTAGCCCCCAATGCATTGATCCGCGCATGTATGAATCTCGGACCATGTTGTGAATGTAGAACTTCCTCTTCAGGAGGATTTCGGGCAATTCAAAATCTTGTAAGTTATCTATTGGAACTTTTCCTGGTATCAAAATATATAACTTTCTGGTTACTGAGTATGTAAATATTCGATGTTATGTGAGTAATATTCTTTTTAGATGTTTATGGATTTTAAGATTTTTAGATATCACTTATTCCTTTCGAATAGGTGATATCACCATACATTTTGAATAGGTGATATCACTTATTCGAAAAGGCGATATCACCTATTCAAATTATTTATGAAATAACAACGGCTCCCAAGACTATAGGTCCTTAAATCTTATTTACTTTCACTTTCGTTTTATAACTCATTATAGGAAAAACTCCTACATAAACAATTACATTGGCGCAGACATTTTGGACACAAAGGTTGTGCGGAGGAGAAAATGCTACCTGGCACGTGATTGGTCAAAAAGAGAAAACACACGTTATGTATCTGACAAGTGAAATAAAGTTCATAAAAATCTCATATCAAGACTTGGGCGTCTTTGAGATATCTAGGAGTTACAGGTAAAAATTTGAAGGGAGGGATGCACTTTGGTTGGGGATTTTCGTTTGGTGGTGAACGCACCTAATTGTAAACAAATGGAATTTGAAAGTAAAAGTGCAAC